CCACCTGCCCATTCAAGCAATGGTGAGCAAGGCAAGCTCAGTGTATTTTACCTCTGATTCTACCTTGCTGCAAGTTTCGGGACGCACATCTGTAGAAGTGCCCCTTGGCTGTCATGCCTTGCTATTTGAAGTGTCTAGAACTAGAATTTCTAGCTCTAAAACCCTCGGTCCGTTTAGCATTTCCAGAGAGCAGAGCAAGACACTAAAGCAAAGGTTTTTCAGGGAGAAATTGTGATATGTGGAAAGCATTTTGTGCCTTGACTTATGCATGTGTTTTATAAATTAATGCTTAAGATGGATTTTGGGGGCCTTCGGTGTGAGCCTACATAGCCAATTTTTAATGGTAGGACATTACAAGATAATGCAACAACACACCATTATGCTATGATTTGGGGTGTAATTCCACGTCTCCAAAAGCATTTTTGAGAAATAAAGGAATTGAAAACAACTAAAAGGTGTTCTGCTATTTCAGTTCTTCAGGTGCATCAGTCAGCTTTCATACAGATCCTGAGAGCAGCCAAACTGTGAGTTTGTCCTCGAGGCTACAAAAATCGCAAAGGATAAGGACATGTAGAAATAGTTTAATCTGCAATTATTCCCTTCCCTTTGATTAACCAGTTGCAACAGGCACTTCCTTAATAGTTCCAAGTAGTTCACTTGCATGGGGGAAATATTTTCTGGCTTTGTTGGTGCTAGGTAGATCTCGTGTTAGTTTTCATGATCCAGTTACACTCTGAAGAGGTTTCTTGCCGTTAAGGCTGTCAGCTATAGGGAGGAGACTTGAAATCCTCCCCCTTCAGAAAGTGTGTACATGTTGGTTTTTTTCTTCCTTTATATTAACAAAAAATATGAAAAGAAAGCTTATATCTTCATAGGCAACTTCTTACCCTGAGAAATCCCTGAGGTTTTTCTCTTTCCAGAATAAGTAGGGCAGGTTGGCTGATGAGCACACACTGGGATCAGAATCCCTCGCTGTCCCCAAGGAGCAGCGTTTCGTGGCAGGCTGGACGCGCTGGTCTCTGCGCCGGCGCGGGGCTGCGCAGCTCGTGGGGACGCGGGCACGGACCCGGGCTCGCACACGGCACCTCCTGCTTTAAAGCAGGGGAGAAAATGCAAACGGTGGCTTTTCTAAAAGGATGCAAAGCAGATGCTCTCAGGTTTAGCCAACTGGCTTTAAATTAATGAATACAGTAGATGAGAATTTTAGGGGAAAAAAAGAAATCCTCACAGGCTCAATCTTTTAGACAAAAAGCCTCTGATCCCTCTGTTTTCTTAGCCAGAAAGAGATGCCTGTGTAATCTATGGAAGGATGCAGTAAATACCTCCTCACAAAAATAAACCATTTTTTAAAAGAAACAAATACAAACCCCACATGGTGGAGGTTGTTTGTTGGTTTCCCCCCAGACATTCATCCACCTCTCTTTAGAGATATCTCTTCTATAAGCTCAAAATCAAAAGAAAAAAAAAATACAAGCTTGCTTCCCTTAGCGAGTTGGGACAATTCAAATATATTAGCACAGCTTCTTTTTGCTGTTTGGACTGAAAAGCTTTTCTGACTCCAA